TTTTTAGCAATTTCGTCAATAACATTAAGATTATACAGGGTGTTTGGTGCATTGTTTGCCAAATTGAAATGGCGGACAGAGGAGGTCTTTTTCTATCACCCCAGGTCCCTCAAACAGTTTTCAGCCCAACGGCATTAATTATGTAGATTTTTTTTAATTAAATAAAAAAAAAATAAAGAGTATGTCCACCTAATGATTAATATATTTTAATGGGTGATGTTGTACCAATCTTACAAAATCAACATTACTTGCCAGCATTAAAATAAGGTATCACTCGACCCCCCTTTCCGTTTAAGATTTTAGGGTTGGTGTCACCCCCGCAAAGGGGGCTGCACGTGTTAACGTGATTTTTTGCCAAACTTGTGTCCCCCTCGAAAACAAAATCGACGGGTCTGAGCGTTTTTCCAAAAAAAAAAAAGTAAGCTGCCAGTAAATGCGTCTGTTTCGTTTTCGATGCGCCACCCTGTATGTATCTCCCACAGATATTGAGATCCCCATACATAATATCACTGTCTTGGGCTCCCTGTATAGGGTGTAAGTCAATGATCGCTCTTAGCTGCAAGTGCGCATTCCTGGACGAAATTCAAGTTGAAGAGTTCATATAAACATGTGTCCTAAAAAATTTGGTTTCCAAGATTCAGGGCGTCAAACTTTCGAAATAATGAGCCGTATTCATAAAAGAGAAGCATATCATCGGAAGCATAAGGTAAAAGTATAAGGTCTTGCTTCGGAGAAAAGGGTAGAAGTATAAGCATATCATTGCTTTCATATTCATAATGATTACCTTATACTTGCGAGAATATCCTCCAAGAAGTAAAAGATTGACTGGTATTTGTATCTTGAGCGACATATCCAGACTTGTTCCTGTTCGCTTAGTATCACTGACAGTTGTGCTCCAGAGCTTACACAGACCGTTCCGTATTTTTACTGGATACAGTTTTTTATCAAATTAATAAGCATGTCATCCTCAAGTGATGAGGAAACTATAGAAAATAATGGCAATGACCTGCATTTCATCTCAGATGAAATTGCCATTGCTCCCATTATTTTGCAAAAGTCACAAGTTCCAAAAATAAAAATGAGAAAGGACGATGCCTTGAAGAAGATGTTGAAAAAATACGAATCAACATTCGGTAAACCATTAGATACTACAGGCTTACTAAAAAAAATCAACAACATGAAATCAAGATTGAAGAAAAAACTGATCTAAAAAAAATTGGTAATAAAGCAATTAAATTGTTAGATTGGAAAAGAAAGTTGCTGTAAGCTATGAAAGGTGACTGTAATCCTACAATTGGGAAAATTAGAGGTGCCATTCTGGTTGGTAGTGTTCAAGAAGTCTAGTCTAGTGCTATTACAGCAATACCAAACAAGTATTTTACATCAAGTGTATTATAAAACGAAATTAGAAATGATGCAGCGTCAGAAGCCACCTGTAACTTATGATGTTCACGAAAATCTGCGGATGTTATTGTAATTCTAGGTGATCTCAATATAAATTTATTGATTAATTCATCGGCTACGGACATTATGCTAAATGTTTTAGAATCTTTCAATTTGAAGCAGGTAGTAGATGCTCCCAGAGTTACAAGCCACTCACAAGCATTGATAGATGTTATTATCTGCTCAGATGGAGAAAATGTAAGAAAGTGCAATGTTGTACCAGTTCATGAGTTATCTGATCATTCAGCTGTTGTTTGTCACCTCCATAAAACGTTAAGCAACCGGACGCAGAAGTTTTACACGTTTAGGGACTTTCGTAACTTTAATGAACGTACCTTTTATGATTTATTTCATTCGACTCATTGGGATGATATTTTTCAATTAAACAGCGTTAATGACATGGTAAATTTTTTAAATAGCAACATACTAAATTTATTTGATAATTGTGCACCTATGAGAACACTTAGAGTTACTAAGCCACCAGCTCCTTGGCTAACATACAATATTAAAATGATCAATAAAGCTAGAGATAAAGCGTATCTAAGGTTTAAAAGAAGTAAGTCAACTGCCCACTGGAACTATTATAAAGAACTCCGTAATTACGCTGCTGCTGCTCTGCGGAGAGAGAAAAAGGCTTATATGGACTATATCCTATCTGGGAGGAACAGTAAAGCAATATGGAGTTCTCTTAGGAAACTTAATATAATTAAGTCCTCTATAAATACTCTTCCAGATAGCTTCAATGACGCAGATGAAATAAATTCACATTTCTCAAATATTCCGATCATAACCAAGACACAAAAGCAATTAGAACTACTGAACAAATATCAAAACAATAAGTTTCCCAAGACATTCTGTTTCCAAAAGGTTGCCAAAGAATCTGTTGCGAAGAGTTTCTCATTTATTAAAACTAATGCTGTAGGGGCTGATGGAATCTCACTCATTATGATAAAATACATTTTCACTTTGCTCTTAGACCATATTACATTTATAATCAATCACGCAATATCAACATCATGTTTCCCTGATGTTTGGAAGCAGGCTATCATCATACCAATTCCTAAAGTAGCGATTCCCACGTCTGTAACGCAACTTAGACCAGTCAGCTTACTTCCCGCATTTTCGAAGCTTTTGGAACGGGAAATGAAGATACAAATATCTCAGTATATTTTCAGTAATGAAATAGTTCCATGAATGCAGTCTGGATTCAGGGAAAACCATAGTACAACAACTGCTCTAGCCAATGTCACTGATGATGTTATAAGAGGCCTTGACCAAGGAAATATCACTTGTTTAGTTCTGCTGGATTACACAAAAGCTTTTGATATGATAGACCCTGAAATTCTGCTACTTAAGCTGTCTTACTATGGTTTTACTGATGCTGCAGTCAATTTGATAAGCTGCTATTTGTCAAATAGAAATCAAAAGGTCTTAACAGCTTCGAAAATGTCACAGTCAACTACTATAAGTTTTGGTGTTCCACAAGGTTCCATACTGGGACCTTTACTTTTCTCTCTATATATATCGGATTTCCATCAATATGTCCATAATTGCACAATCCATCACTTTGCTGATGATACTCAAATTTATTTTAGTTTCCAACACAAAGATTTTAAAATTGCAGAAGCATTGCTCAACGAAGACTTAACAAGGCTAGTAGACATTTCGTGCTCGCATAACCTAAAAATTAATCCATCTAAATCTTCAGTTATGGTTTTCGGCTCAAAAAACAAAAGAACATTGATCGAAACGGAAATTAACCTTAAAATCTATGATTGCCGGCTTCCTATAATGAATGAGTGTAAAAACCTGGGACTCTGGATTGACACAGAACTAAAATACAAAAAACACGTAAATTCGTTATGTAGTGCATCATACTGCATTTTGAAACAGTTTTATCCACATAGGCAAATAATATCTACTTCAGTAAAGCTGAAACTGTGTGAAACATTAATTATATCAAAAATCAGTTATTGTGACAGTATATATGGCGCAGCTCTATCATATAGTGAACAAAGCAAATTACAGCGTATTCAGAATTCGTGCATCAGATTTTCTTGCGGAATACGAAAGTTTGATCATATTTCTCATAAATTTAAGGAACTTGGTATTCTGCAGATTAAAGGCATGCAAAAGCTTCACTTATTGACACTCACACATAAGGTTTTAGCTACCAAACAACCACAATATTTGCATAATAAGTTAACACGATGTAGTGACATAAATCAACTGAATACAAGGAATAGGAATATGTTAGTGATACCCTTACATTCTAAGGCTGTCTACAAAACATCATTCAGCTACAATGCTATTAAATTATACAATGATCTGCCTGTTACATTCCAAAACTATACGTTATTTAATTTTAAAAAGAGGCTTAAACTAAAACTACAAGTCGAGGTCTGATGATGAGTACAAAATGCTAGAAATATGGACTATTCTTGTAATTGTTCTGTGTTGTTAATTATTTAGTAATTATTGAGAATTATGGATACATTTTTGTTGGTAGAATGTTTTATTATATATATATATTTTTTTTGTTAAGGTTAAGGTTAAGTTGAAAAACGCTAATTTTAGCGACACTTCGCCTTTTTTGTACTTTTACTTAGGTACGAAATAAAGCCCATTTATTATTATTATTATTATTATTATAAAATAAAACTAACTTATAAATACACTTTAATCAGTAAAACTATTTATTATAATACTCAAGTTTCTTCTTATTTGTTGACTCAGTTGGCGGTGAGGAAGTTCGTCATTCTCATATTTCCTTCATCTTCATCTGGGTCTTGTTTAACTAACTCAAAGTCAGGATCGCCCAAGCTCTTCGCAACATTATGGAGTACAATAAATGGAATAATTATTTTCGGCACATTTTCCAACTTTACGCGGCAAACATACTGTAGAATAGGAAACCGGCGTTTCAATTGGCCGAAACAGCGTTCAATTATAATTCTTTCTTGTTTTAAAAGCTTATTATAATTTATTTCTGCACCTAGAGTAGGATTTCTGAAGGCATGGCTCAATACCATAACCGTCATCGCCAAGTAGTACAACATTTGCTTTATTTATTAGTTGTGATCTAGTCTGTGAATTTCTCCATATTCTGGAATCATGCACTGATCCAGGCCAACTGACATCAACACTTGTGAACATCTCTCTGGCATCACAAGTGGCTTGCACATTTAAAGTAGGTTTCCCTTTTTGGTTGATATACTCATCTCCATGGTGAGTTGGTTTCAGGATTCCTATATGTGTACAATCAATTACACCAATTGCTGTCGTAAATTTATACATGCTTTGCCATATCCGCTTGGCCTCCATCAGTTCATGGTTGGTAGTTGGAAACTTGATCCATTCGTTCGACTGTGCAACTATGCTGTTCGCAACTCTATCCACAGTCCGAGATACCGTTGCTTGACTAACACCAAGTTCCTGACCACTACCTTGTTGATATCCAGGGTCACCGAGATAGCGTAGACATATCTTTATTTTATGAATACATGAAAGTGCTCCTCCTCAAGTTTCCTCATTCTCAACCAAAAATCTGTCCGCAGGCCATTGTCCATTTGCTTCGTCGAACCGATATAATTTTTTGAAGTCCCGACCAAGTCAAGGTAAACGAGGTTTGTACGTTTGAACATCCCTAACATCCACAATTTCCGCCATCATCGTTTGACCACCTTTCGTTCTGAAATTGGGTCTGCTAATGACCACACTCACAATTTTTGGAAGGATATGCTTCCGATGCCAAGTATAAGGCGAAGATTATGAATATCCTTTCACTTATGTCACTGCTTTGAAGGATATGCTTATACTCAAAAACCAAAAGCATTTACTTCAAATTATTATAAATACCATCTGGAGGATTTCCTTCAAAATTTGCAAGTTTTGTTTTATGAATACGGCTCAATGACCTTTTGACGAAAAATAAAAATATAGTCAACGCCAAACAAAGTGGCGTGCACGTCATCAAGGTGGGTGTGTTGAAAAATTTACATTGTTGCCAAACTTTTTGTAAAATAATAAAATTTATTATTTACATATCTAGGTTTATAAGCAATATTAACCTCAAATGAGAACAAAAATAATAGTATAATAAAATTATAGATCTGTACTTGCATAATCATTAAGTATGACAATTATTGATCAGATGACACTATGAAACTACCATATTTAATTGATAGCTTAAAGGTACTGAATAAAAATCCAAATGGGGTCCTCCAAATTTTATGCATGGTATTTATTTTACAGAATTCATACAGAAAAATGCATTCTAAAATTAGGTAAGCTACTGGTGTAAGCTTTTTCTGTACAATAAAGTTAGTCGGAGTTTCTTTCTTCAGCGCTGTCTGAATCTGAATCTTCATCACTCTCAAAGTTGATTATTAAAGGTTCGATGTCTGGTCGATCAAAAATTCGTTCTCTTTCATACCATTTAAAAATTTCTTGCTCAGTATGTCGAACACTATTTTTCCACATGTCTGGGGTAACCGTTTGTAGAGCCTCGTTCCACATATCCAAACAGTCTTTTTCACTGTTACCATCTCTACCAATATGTCTGTTATAGTAACCTTTTGCTATGCCCCAAATTAACTCAATAGGGTTAAATATACAATGGTAAGGAGGCAGACGAAGAACTTTGTGCCCATGTTGTTCCGCCAATTCATCAATCACGTATATTTTAGGTGGTTTGTTTCTAAAAAAGCAGTTATTTTAAGAATAGGAATAAACAAAAGAAATATAAACTGTCGACCAAAATATATATAATTAAGAAGCATTATGTACCGAGCAACAATACTCAATAGCTCTGTTTTAAACATTGTGTTTAAAAATGGTATGTTTTGATTTGTCAACCAGTCTTGGATATTTTTTTTTGTCCATGCATTGTTGGGCACTTTGTTCAATATCATGCTGTGATAAGGGGCGTTATCCAGTATAATCATAGATGGACTCTCCAATTTTTCTAATAACTGATGTTGAAACCATTTCAAACAATTGTCCTGGTTCATCTCTCCATGGTAATCGCTCAATTTTGTTTTCGAAGAAAATATCGCTTCACTACCCTCAATAAACCCATTTTCATTTCCAGCATGTAATATAATGTATCTAAAATATATTAGTTTTAAATTTTATAGTGCTAATTGTGTAAAAGTACATACCTTTTACCATCTGTTTTAATAGCTTTCACGCTTTTTTGGTTTCCATTTTGCCAAGAGCGACCTATGGTCCCATTTTGAAATATCCAAGTTTCATCGAGGAAGACAAACTGGTATAAGGCCTCAACCTTGGCTTGATTGTATTGCCTTAGAAATTCCACCCTTTTCAAAGCTATACTTGGTAGTTCCATGAGCCCTCGTCGCGGATTGTCCTTAAGCCACTTAAATCCAAGATCTCTAAGCAACCGCCTTAAAGACGTGGCACTACCATCAAATAATGCCCTATCTCTTAATCGAGACCATAAAGTTTGTATCGTAACTTGTTCTTCTGAAACCATGTGTAATATGACATTATAATTTAGTTAACAAATTAATGCAAATTTCTGATAAGTTATTATAATAAGATCTTACTTTTGTGATACATATTATAGATCACTTCTCGAATGGCACTTGTATCCAATGTCGCTGTGTTGGTTACACGTTTAATATAACTCCGCTTTTTCTTGGGCGATTCTAAATTTGCATCACTTTTCACACCCTCGGAAATACGACTAACAGTCCTTAAACTAATTTTTAAAGCAGCAGCAACACGCTACAAAAAATGAAATAAAATTTCACTATTATTAATATACATTACATATAATTATTAGTAACCTACCTCTTGAACAGCATTTAAAGGCAACAAAGGCCCGTTGTTGTCCCTTTCTTGCTCAAAGTAGTGCATTAACGAGGCCAAGAGTTCCTTACACCGACTATTTAACTGTTTGGGCATCTTTATATACCAAAATTGCCTTTATCTACTCGTAAAATGAATAATTTTGTTTTGAAACAAACAGTTGTTGATTTACAGTATGCGGGGCCAAAGGATTTATAAAGATTTGAAATGCCACAAATTGATTCAGTGTCAAAATTAATACAAATGCCAGTTCCCAGTTTAAATAAGTTTCAAGGTGACAATGTGTCAACGCTGCGAAATCGGTTTAGTGCGTTTACATGTCGATAAGTGATTGGAGCGTTTGCAAAACATTTTATTTCGCATAATGCGTCTAAATTTATCAGAAAGCAACTTATGTGATATTTTAATAACAATGTTTATATGACTATTAACCATAATAAGAGAGTAATGACCATTTTACAATTTATATATCACATTAATATGAAACTGCAATAGAGCAATTGTTTGTGATAGAAACCTAGGCATTAGGTCGGGGAATTTTTATCGTGATGACGTGCACGCCACTTTGTTTGGCGTTGACTATAATACCATATTGTCACGGAAAGTCAAAAATACGCTCATGACGTCATGCCAACAAAATAACGTTTCCTATCAACGATCAAAGTTAATTTGATTCTATTTTTACATTTTTTGACATGTAATGAAGATCTAGAAGTAGTGTTACGTTTTGCTGAATGACCCTGTACATGTTGTATTTTGCAGATGGAGAGCAAGACAATATCGATGTTTATGATAAAAGATAGAATAATACAAATGTTTCGTCTAATGGACGAACTGTTCTGGCAACCGCAAGAGAGCGAACTGTGCATGAAAGAATATCTTTACGTCCGTAAGAGAATCAAAGTCATAGCTTTAACGTATATTTTATCTCTTGGTTCCTCATACATGGGGTTCATATTGGTACCGCTGCTGACAGAAGGAGAAAATCTTGTTGTTGAGTTTTATAGACCTAAGCACATCCCTTATATTGCGCTGTATCTCTTCCAATGCTACATAGGTAAGTTTCTGATAGGTTAAGTTCAAGCAAAATCGGGTATTTTAGTTTTATTTTGATATAAAATGTTTGTGGAGTTAAGTAAATAAATTATTGGGTTATTTACAGTGTTCAAAATAAAACAATACAGACAAAACAATACACGAAAAAACAGTGGCGTACTATTTTTATTTGGAAAAATAGTTCCACTAATCCCCTGTATCTCCGCCACTGCAGCACGTTAATTTTAAGTAAAGACTTTTGAATGTACACAATACTTGGGAAAATCCACATACTAAATGTTCATTCCGGTTTTGAAGATATTGAAAAAAATGTTTTTTATTTGTAAACTTCAACACCCCGTGGAAAAAATGTTACATAGAAGACTCTCCTTAAAATGAGATCCTGTGTATGATGTTTCATTTTTGGTCATATGTGAATCACCCTGTATATCTTTGAATGAAGGTCAATTTCTCAACAGTAAGTGCTATGTTTCTTTAAAACAATGAAATGACCTCATCTGAAATATTTGTGATCTTGAATCAATATCACAATTTCATATGAACTCATGCTCTTGAATCAATAGCACTCTTTTTTGTGTGTACCACAAGAGCTGTTGAAAAAGAGGATTTTTATTAGAAGGATACATTACAAACCTTCAATGAAATTACCTCCCGTCCAGTAAAAATCCTTCCTCTCCACCAGTAAGGTGGTATTTGTATTTTCCAGGAGCTACAAGTAACTCAGAAATATAGGGCTATAATAACCCCCCAAAAATTGTATACCAAAATAAAGCTTATACAGTGGACCCCCGATAATCCGGCCACTGTCTAATCCGGCGCCCCCTCTAATCTGACATGTCTTTGAATATGTGTTACATACATACGTATTTGACAATCTTCGCTAATGTAGATCACGCAGGTTTGAACAGGTTACAACTTGTACGCGCCACCGCTATCGTGCTCGACGCGTAAGCATTGTTTTACTTAGTTTGAATTTGACTACTGGTGATAGCGGTACGGCCTAGCGTGCGTTCAGTGTTTACTATTTATTCATTATGTATTAAGTATAGTACCTAGTAATGTCATCACAAACTCAGAAGCGAAAGCACAAAACATTGACAAGTAAAGAAAAATGTGATATTTTAGACCGCTTAAATCGCAATGAAACTTTCAGTAGTTTAGCAAGTGGATACGGCGTAGGCCGATCTACAATTTATGACATTAAAAGAAACCTCGAGAAGATCAAGCAGTTCGTGTGAACTACTGACTGCGGGCCAGGCAAGAGACAGACACTCAAGAAAGCTGAACATCCAGCAGTGGAAGAAGCTTTGTACATGTGGTTTCTTCAGGAAAGAAATAGGCATGCACCAATTTCAGGACTCATGTTGGCCATGAAAGTTTTTGTATATATAAGGAAATAACAAAAAAAGATGATTTTGTGGCCAGCAAAGGATGGCTAGAACGTTTTAAAAATCGTCATGGCATACGTTTAATGACTATTACTGGAGATAAACTTTCTAACGATGCCACCTGCATGGAGCCCTTTAAATTAAGATTTTTGCAAAAGGTGAACGATTTAAATCTTGACTCGTCACAGGTGTACAATGCAGACGAATCAGGGCTTTTTTGCGTGTGATGCCTAACAAAACTTTCGTTTCTTGTAACGAAAAATCCGTACCTGGACGAAAAGTAAGTAAAGAGCGTGTAACCATACTACCATGTGATAACGCTGCGGGAACACACATGCTTAATATGATGGTCATTGAGAAATCTAATAAACCAGGGGCATTCAAAAAAATTGATTTACCTGTACAGTATTAGGGACAAAAAAGTGCATGGATGTCAAAAGACCTTTTGAAAAAGTGATTTGATGAATGCTTCGTATCTGAAGTTAGAAAATGGTTAAAAGATCATAATTTTCCTCAAAAAGCGTTGTTGTTTCTTGATAACGCTCCCGGTCATCCGTCTGAAGAATAACTAACAACTGAGGATAAACGCATCACTGCGATGTTTCTTCCGCCAAATTGCACTGCACTGATTCAACCAATGGACCAGAATATCATTCCGTTTGTCAAGCAAGACTATAAGAAAAACCTACTTCTGAGAGCATTATCAAAAGACCAACCAATAGAAAAAACTTTAAAAGAATTTAATATGAATGACTTGGTTTTTGCTCTTTGTCAGTCGTGGAATGCGTTACCGTCATCAACTATTAAATCGTCTTGGAAAAAGTTACTGCCAGATATAGTCACCACTCCTAGCAACCTTCCACAAATCAGTGTTACTTCGGAAGTTATAGAACAAGTCGCTACTGAAACACAGATAAGTCCGGAAGATGTCGAAATCTGGTGCCGCGGAATGGATAAAGAGGAAAATGTTTTTCATGAAATGTTTGACGAAGAGATTATAAAAGCGGTTTCTAATTATACAACAAACAATCAGGAAAATAACGACGATGTGATTGCAACTGCTCTACAAGTCACAGCACAAGACGCAATTAACGCCTTTGAGCTAGGTTTACAATGGGCTGAAGAGAATGGTACATCCTAAAACGAACTTTTACTTTTGAGAAGACTGAGGGACAAAGCTCGGATCTCGCGTTATAACAACCTTAAACAAAACAAAAATTGATGAATATTTCCAAGCTTCATAATTTGATAAATTCATTAATGATTTTGATTAATCATTCTTGATTATGTTGGTACATATGTATGTGCATTTATGCTTAATTTGATAATAAAACGTAAGCTCTCTATTGTTATTTAATTTACTAAATTCGACATACATAAACTATGTATGATTTGTACTTCAAAGTACATACATATACATATACATAACATATATAATCTTACCATTGGATATGTAATTTGTCGGATTACAAGGTACTCCTTTGTAAAAAATTATAGGGGGTCTTAGGCAGTGCTCTATAATCCGACAAATTCGATAGTCCGACACTGCCCTGCATAATGTTTGTCGGATTACCGGTGGTCCACTGTAATAAGTATAACTGAAAAGCGTACAAATTCAAAAGAAAGTTCAATTAAATGTTTTGTGAAAAAGTGCATTTTGCGTCTATAGAAGAGGCAAAAAATTTAAAGATCGTTAAATGACGTGAAACTATGAGAGATGAAACTTTAAGACAAAATATCCTGCAGCTCTTGCTCCTCGTTAGAAATGCCCTTTCAGAATATACAGGCTGAACCGTTAAGTTAAGCGGAGTTTAAAAAATCATAGAAAAAAATCTACAAATCATAGGGGGATCAATTATATTTTTAATAAAGTAGACACATGAGAATTTTATTTTTTTTAAAATAACATCATTGAGCACACACTCCTCGAATCTCGACTTCAAATTCAGGCAGCAGCGGTGGCCGCAGTAGTAGACTCCTCGGTCTCCTGATCAGTCGCCGTGCGCTGTGCGGGTTCGAATCCCGTCCCAGGAGAAATTTTTCATCTTGGCTATGGATGATGTGATTGTCCGTAGGTGGTAGACGGTTTCTGACTGTCGAACGCGGAGGTACCACCCGGCGGATCTCGTAGGCGGAGCCAGAATGTGTGCATGTTGCATGCACGTGTTCCCTCGCCAGAGTCCGTGTGGCGTTCCCCCTTTCCCCTGTATCCCCTTATAGCCCAACGGTACCCAATGGGTGTTTAGGCCTTAGGCCTTCGTGGTAGTTGGTGTATAAAAAAAAAATTCGTGAAGACTCGCTGGCACATTGCTCTTTGAGGTATCAACAGAGACAAAATCCAGTGGAATGATATCTGGGCTCCAGGGAATGCCCCTCGTCGCGATATCAGTTTTCCACTAAATATACTAAGTGACATATAAATCCGAACACCCAGTTTAAATGGTTTTATTTTAATAAAATTTTGTATAAGTACTTAATGAAGCATAATAAGTAAATGATAAACATTTCAAAATGATTGCACTGCTTTAAAGCCCTTTGACCTTTAATAATGTGTGGATGCACCCTGATATGCTACGCATTCTCCAACGCGCCTAGGCATGCTTCTGATCAGGTGGTCAATGTCCTCCAGTGGTATCTCATTCCAGGCAACCACCAACTCCTCTCGAAGTGCTTCTAGAGTCTGAGGAGGACGTTGCAAATTGAGCAATCTCCTGCCCATCATATCCCACACGTGCTCAATTTGGGATAAGTCGGGAGATCTTGGTAGCCATGGTAACAATGTGACATCATTATGTTGAAAGAAGTCTATTGTGACTCTTGCAACATGTGGTCGGGCATTATCTTGTTGGAAAGTTGGATCTGCCAGGGTGTCAAGATAGGGTAAAAGATGAGGTTCTAGAACTTCGTGGATATAACGCTGCGCGTTCATGTTACCTCTGATGAAGATTAAAGGTGACCTGGAATCATAAGCTATAGCACCCCAAACCATAACTCCAACAGTGTGATGAACATGTCTTTCAACAAAAAACTGTGGATTCCTCCTTTCACCACGTCACCTTCTAACCCTGGCACGACCATCGTGCATGCCTAAACAAAATCGAGACTCGTCACTAAAGACAATACTGTTCCATTCCTGATCCCAGAGTGACCGTTGTCTGCACCACTCAAGGCGATTACGTCGGTGTTCTCGAGTTAAAGGGAGGACCCAGTGTGGCCGGTATGAAAACAAGCCATAACTTCTCATTCGTCGGTAAACACTTCGCATGCCAATAGGTCTTCCGCGTTCTGCAAACCATTCATTTGCAATGGACCTGGTAGTGGAGAAACGGTCCCTTAAGGCCAATAATCTTAGGCGGCGATCTTCCCGGTCTGTTGTTCTACGGCGGCGTCCAGTGCCCCTTGCTCTTTGCGTACGGCCTTCTCGAAGCCATGCCTGACAACACCTAACCACAGTGTCTACACTTCTTTGCACTCTAACTGCAATTGCCCGAAAAGAAAGTCCAGCTTCCCGAAGTCCCACTATACGGCCCCTATCAAACTCACTAAGTTGACGAAATCGTACAGGTCTCCGTACTCTAGGCATCGTAACCGATCGTAAAGGATGTCAAGAACCAAAATCCGCCAACGTTGATTCTTTACTGCGGCTGAAATATTCATTTTTAGAGCGTTAGTGAATTAAAAAAAGCAGTATAAAAACCGGAATGTCCAACTGATAAGGCTGAAAATTTTGTCACTTGTTATTTACAGTAAGATAAATACATTCACCAACTTTTATTAAAATAAAACCATTTAAACTGGGTGTTCGGATTTATATGTCATTTATATGTCACTTAGTATATTTCGTTTAAAACTAATATAAAATTATCCACTTTTGGAAAGAAGAAATAGGGTCCGAAGGTTCCTTAACCGATATGGCCGCCGAAACTGTAACATAACGCAAAGGCAAGGGTCTTGGGCGTTTTACCTTGGGATTTTCTGCGGCCCAATACCGGCAATTTTCCACTCAAACGAAAATCAGAAAAGAGAATGTTGTTCAAAATTGGAAGGCGCTCTAACATTGTTTCGGTAAACGCACGGCGTAGACGTTTTCAGCTCCTGAACTAGTTGAAGTTTATATGGCTGCAATTTAAGGTCTTTTACCAGAATACGCCTTTCAGACGGTCTTTCGGGATGATAACTGTGGATCGCGCCGTAAGAACGTCCCAACTTCCCTTACAGTTTTCTCTGTTCATATTGACCTTGGAAGCCAAGCAGGTTGCTGATTCAGTGCCGAACCGGTAGACTCGAACTTTCTAACCCACGACCTCATCACACTTTTACTAAGACATTGATTAAGATCATGTAAACTAAACTCAGAGCGAAAAAGATGCCGCGCAATAGTGCATGAATCTCCATTGTTATAAGCCTTAACACAGACGCACGCTGCTCACCCGTGAAACGCTCCATGGTGACTAAATTTCCGAGCACCAAGCTACTTATCCCCACTACCCATGTCCCGATCCCGCGTGCTTGTCACGAGTAATGCGGTTTTGAAATCCGTACATCTTTCTAGTCTGCCCTGTACTAAAATATATAGCGTGTTCCATCCTAAAAAATGTTCCCACATAGTTTGGAATTACCCTGTCATCGACAGTCTTTTGCGTGTAGTCACAAGCAAAAAACTCAACCTGTATGTTCTGAAATACCTTAGGGCAAAAATTTCATAGATACAGTCGACTTAAAATTTACGTTTTATTAGGGTCTTACAATCCCGTGGACCCCGACTCCTCATGATATGCACTTCACATAACCACACATAATACTTTTCTTTAAGGTTTGTCACATTTGATTGGAGGAAGCTTCTGTTTTGATATTATACTATACAGCACTATGATGCATACGGCAGCTCAGTTGAGAATATTAAACAAAGTGATTCAGGGAGCCTTCGATATAAAAATACAAACTGAGGAAGATTTGAAGAAATTCAAGTTGTTAATGAGACGGTGTATTGAACATCATGATTTTCTGTTGAAGTCAGTATTTTATTTTTAGTTTTATCTGTGAAATGAAAATCCTAACGACCTATACTGTGTATAATATGAAGGTCTTGGGGCAATAAGGTACCTAAAACACATTTGAATAAGAAATTGATGTTTTTGACAATTCGCTAATAGTTGTCGCTATAATTTCTAAATGGCGTCTTTGAACAGCCACGATATCCCACACACATGCTTATGCCGAGAAAGTTATAAGACACAAAGCAGTTGATGTTTTAATGATGTTGAGAACAAAGATGAGTCTGGATTTAATTCAGATGACAGTGGAAAGCACAAACCCTCAGATGGAAATTCTGATAGTGACTGAAATAAATTTATCTGTCGGGCTGGTGAACTTCTTCAGTCTTAAGAAACATTTATGAGTTTTTCGGAATAGAGAACGCATCTGACACATTCCTAATGGAAATACATAACCTTTAAGCATTTGGCTCCATATCCGTCTCACGGAAAGAACTTAAAGTACTTTGACGTAGATAAGAAGTCCGTTAAATTTAATAAAGTCTCTAAATTATATGATTATAAGATAGACGATTTCTAAATTACCTTTGAAGTGCAACATTCTATTCAATAAGGCTCCAAGCCACAATATTTTCAAAACTGAATCTGTGTTGTGAAAACGCGTTATATTGTTATACAGGGTGTGAATACGCACGAAGATTTCCCAACAGACGACATCCAACTCGCTCAGTATTTGTAAGAGTGCATCGGCAAATAATTGAAAATGGTTTTAGAAATCTCCAAAGGGATCAAAACATAAATGTTCGTCAGCGCAGACTTACCCGTATGATTCTGCGTGAGTTTGATAGAGATCCGACCACAAGTGTTAAGAGAGTTTCTGGTGCCTTGGGAATTTCTAAGTTACGTTTTATGGACCGATGAGTCATGCTTCACTAGACGTGGAGTGGTAAATTTTCATAATCAACATATTTGGTCGCATGAAAATCCGCATGAAGTTCGGGAAAGAAATTTTCAGCATGAATTTAGTGTGAACGTGTGGATTGGTATCTACCGTAATCGACTATTTGGACCCTACCTTTTGCCTGCAAGGTTAAATGCTGCGACCTTCTTGGAATTTTTAAAGGCTGAACATGCAAATACATATGTGGGATGATGTTATGTTAGATTTAAGAAGATTGGCCTGGTTCCAGCTTGATGGTTGTCCAGCTCATTATTCGAGAATAGTTAGAAACTGGCTGGTCGAAAATTATCCAGAAAGATGGATCGGCCATGGAGGACCAGTCGCCTGGCCTCCACGATCCCCTGACCTAAATCCATTAGATTTCTTTGTGTGGGGATTTCTAAAAGAAAAAGTAGGTACCAGACTCCCGTAACCACAGGAGATATGCTAATAGACAGAATCAGGAATGCATGTGATGAAATAAGGCCTTATTTGAATAATGCTATACCACCGTTCGATCATTCGTAGATGTGAATTGTGTATTGAACAATTAGGTTTACATTTCGAGCAACTACTTTAGATTTTATATGTTTGTCCTAACTATCCAATAGCATTTTAGTTGTAAATATTTAATTTAATTTGTTAAAAATAATATTGGAAAATTAAACAAATTAATATTCTGTTTTTTTGTGTTTATTTGGAGTTAGGAATTATTGCTGTGTTTAAAAACACAATCTAAACGATCATCTTAATTACTTGTAATGCCCAAATCGAAAATGTAAAAAAAAATATTATTTTCCCATAAATAATTAAAAATGCATCGAACCTCAAAAATCGAAATATCTCAAAAACGGCTAACTATAACGAAAACTCACAAGAGAGGTTTTTTATGTTGAAAAGTGCGAAGAATCAGTTTTTTATTCAAAAAGCAAAAAATTGCACTAAGAAAAAATGTTCTGTCATTTTAATACACTACAGGTACAGTAGAGAGCGCCCTCTACCGGCTACAGTAAAACTATGCCCATGGTTCGTTTTGTCGTACCAAAAAACCCTTGTATACCAATTTTCACTATTATACATCAAATATTGTTCGAAATATTTAAAAAAAAAACTATTTTAGAAAGTAAATTTAAACACCCTGTATTTCGGAAGCCACGCATTTTTCGACCCATGTTTATATAGACTTTATGCATTAGTTTTAAAAGTTCTATCGAATCTTAAAGTTATGCAACAATAAACTGAAACACCCTGTTTATAAAATGTAAACTTATTGTAGCATGTCTGTCGATATTAAGCAAAAAACGTGCTGTCAGGATTTACGTATAACTTATAACTTTGGCATTCTTAAAATAAAGTCAATGCGGCTTAGGTACCGTATTGCCCCAATCTCTTCCATTGTAACTCCTTACAAACTATCAGGTAACCAAATAACTTCGTGCTGTTTTTAGTAGAAAAATATAAATTTTTATTGAGAAACAACCATCTGGAGTTGTGACTATCGGTGCCTCATACAGTTGTCAAGAGACAAAAAAAATAACTTTGGCATTCTTAAAATAAGGTCAATGCGGCTTAGGTACCGTATTGCCCCAATCTCTTCAATTGTAACTCCTTACAAACTATCCGGTAACCAAATAAGTTCATGCTGTTTTTAGTAGAAAAATATAAATTTTTATTGAGAAACAACCATCTGGAGTTGTGACTATCGGAGCCTCATACAGTTGTCAAGAGACAAAAAAAGGTGATAATAACTGGGCGAAATGTCGGAAGAATATGGCGGCTGCGGTAACGTCTCCCAGCCGAGTTCAGAATTTTTTTCTCTGGTCACTTTTGCGGTATGAGGCTTGGAGTTATCCTGCAGAAATATCACTTTCTTCCGATTGATCAAAGAAGGCTGTTTCTGGATGAGTGCTGCTTGTACTCGTTGAAGCTGCTCACAATACAAGTTACCAGTGATGGTTTGACCCCTTTCCAAAAACTCATAATGGACAATTCCAGTTGCTGTCCACCAAACACACAACAAAACCTTGTTTGGGTGCAAGGAAGCCTTGGGCGTATGTGGTACCGAATCAGTAGGCGACAACCAATGATACGAACGTTTAGAATTCGAATAGAAGATCCATTTTTCGTCGCAGGTTAATAATCGACTGAGAAATGGTCCATTAGCGTTGCGTGAAATGTTTGCTGAACAAATGGTAAGACGACTTAATTTGTTATCATTTGTCAGTTCATGTGGGACCCATTTGCTTAACTTCCACGTCTTTCCTAGCTGATCAAGATGCAAACGAATAGTTTCAGGTCTCACTCTGAACATTTCTGCAAGTTCTTGGCACGTTGTCTTGGAATTTGCGTCCACAACCTGTCGAAGATCCTCGCTGTTCATGATTTTTGGTCTCCCTGAGCGCGGATCATCGCTCAAACTGAGATCTCTCAAAGAAAAATGTTTAAACCACTTCTGTTCTGTTCGATCACTAACGCCATCATCTCTGAATGCGGTACATATTTTTCGTGCCGCCTGTGCAGCTTTTGTACCAAGTTTTTACTCATACAATAAACAACTACGAATTACTGTTTTATTCGTCGCCATTTTCAATTATTAAAACTAGATATGTAACAATTTTCAGCACCTTTTTATGTGCGTGACGAAAGGAGGATTCATACTAAAGTGACAACAGGTAACAAACAATCGCTATCGATCAACAACATCCATGGCAATGTGCGATATACAGCAACCACACGAACTTATTTGGTTACCTGATACATAATTCTTATCACTAGAAACAACCTATCGATGTCCTATACAGGGTGTTTCACAACTTATCCGACAAATTTTAACCGCATATGCACTGTTACGCAAGAAGTTGATTTCTCAAAAAAAAATGTATTGGAACTCCTACAGAAGTTATAAACCTGAGTTTCGATAATAAATTTAAAAATAAATATCTGTATTTTGCACTCATCGTCGTGATATTAGAACACGCATTAATAACTTAATGTAGCAAATGTTGTACCAAACACCTGACGAAAACAAAATACCAGGATTTTTTTGTTTTTTCATACTGATAAGAACGTGTAAATAAGGTTTAATCTGTATCGTGAGTGATCTGAATGAAGAACGATCGATTTTTGTGAAGTTAATTAAGAAAGTAGTTTGCAAGTTTATGTTTTAGTCATTTTTTTAAAAAATGGCACATGTGTACAGTAATGAGGAGCTAGTTGACATTGTTCTACACTGATTTCCGGATACCACATCACGAAACATTTGGTTCAATTGTTTTACGTGCACGTGCTAGTGGAGATTTGCGCCCCAGACGTGGAGTGGATGGGGGTCGGGTTCGCCCACAACGCGTTTTAAATGCCGAAGACGAAATTGTGGAAGAACATTGGGGAATAAGCACAAGGCAGTCAGCCCAACTGGTCCCAGAAGTGCTACATGCAACATATACATATACAGCAGACGCTCGATAACGTAAACACGGGATAATGAAAACTTGCGCTAATGTAAACACAAACTTCGTTCTATAGGATCAAACGGAACGCGCGATAACGTAAACAATGTGTACGCTCGATAACGTAAACAACTCTCGGCGCACGCAAACAGCGCGACGGTAAAATGCTGAAGCCTGGATGATTTATGTCGGGCGTCGGGTGTAGGGGATTCACCTCTGCGATAAAATACGACAAACTCGGTCAGTCGTATGATCGTTTAGGTTACGTTTATACGTACGTATGTATTTCATTTTTGAACTTAACTGAATACATTGAACGCGTTAATATGTTTTACGACTATGGCATCCACATCCTATAAAAGAAAGTGTTTAAAGTTGAGTGAGAAAGTGAAAATCATAGACGAAGTTGCACTAGGTGCGGGAGTGACACAGGTAGCAAAAAAATATGGAGTATCGAAAGCAACAATCTGTAAAATTAAGCGTATGAAAACTCAAGTTTTACAAAGAACGTGCATTACATTTGGAGGTCCGGGAAAAAGAAAAACTTTAAAAAATGCGAAGGCACCTAAAATGGAAGATTCCCTGTATAAGTGGTTTTAAAACAACGGGAAAATAAAGTCCCAGTTAGTGGCGAAGTACTTAAACAGAGAGCGAGACTGTTAAATGAAAAACTGAAAGAAACTGAAAATTTCGTAGCTAGTGATGGCTAGCTACAACGATTCAAAACAAGATATGGAATTCGACTGCTGTCTATATCTGGTGAAAAATTATCAGCACAACCACAATTAGTGCAACCATTCAAAGAAAAATTGATGAAAACAATTACCGAGCTAGATTTAAGAATGGAACAAATTTACAACGCAGATGAAAGTGGCCTTTATTGGAAAATGTTACCAGAGAAAACCTATGCTGCATCATTTGAAAAATCTGCCCCGGGAAGAAAGCCGGAGAAACAACGAATAACGTTTCTAGCCTGCACTAATGCTAATGGTTCACACAAAATAAAGCCACTGGTAATTGGGAAAGCAAAAAATCCGCGCTCATTTAAAAATGTTAATATCCCTGTTGATTATGACTGTTCAAAAACCGCTTGGATGACTAGCAGTATATTCCTGAAATGGTTCCACAGGTACTTTGTCCCTCAGGTATGACAATCAATTATCACAAATGCTCTATTCATAATTTGAAGATATGTTTTCAATTTGTAGGTAAAAGGTTTCCTAAAACAACAGAAGCTTCCAATAAAAGCGTTGTTACTAGTGGATAATGCACGAAGTCATCCTCCGGAGCAACAGCTGAGGAGCAGGGATGGGTCAATTTTCGTCATCTACATGCCGCCCAACGTAACACCGTTAATTCAACCGATGGACCAGAATATAATAAGACTCACCAAACTATACTATAGGAAGTTTCTCCTTTCAACTGTCTTATCAAAGAATCCTGAAAACTAATCTGAGGCTTTAAAAAAAGTAACATTACGAGAAGCTGTTTTAGATTTACATATGGCCCGGAATGAACTAAACCAGCAAACTATTCAAAAATGTTGGAAAAATCTCTTTTGTACCAATAATGAAGATGATGAAGAAGACGATGTCCCCTTAAGCGTAATTAGAGAACGTTTGCGATCCAATAATGATAATGTTATTAGTGTGACTTTGGGTGTTGTTGATTTATTGAAACAGTGAATCCCAACATTGTTTGTACTCCTGCTGATATTAATTTATGGAACGAAGATAAGCAGACGAATGACGCTGATAAGGAGGAGGATATGGACAGTGAGGATGATGAGAACGATCCCATTGAAGTCAGAAGTGTAGTGACTGACGCGCAAGCTATACAAGTTTTTAACCAAGCTTTAGATTGGGCTGAAAGCAAAGAAGTTTCAAACACGGATATTTTAGTTCTTCGTAAATTACGGACGCAGGCATTGGAAGACAATGCTAAGCGCAAATTTACGCAGACAAAAATTGTTAATTATTTTTCTTCTAATTAAAAAAATACTTATCGCTGTTAGAATATTTGTTTATTTTGTTATAAATAGTATGTATTAAACGTTTCTTTTAATAAATCAAATATTATATAAATCACGTTCGCTAATGTAAACATTTCGATAATGTGAACCACACTTGGATTAAATTAGTTTACATTATCGAACGTCTGCTGTATTACGCGCATATTACATGACGCATAACTGTACCCTTATCACTTCCAGAGAATCCAGGCGTTGCTACTTACAGACTACCCCTAAGAGTATTATTTTATTATCTTGATATCTGTAGGACTTATACAGGGTGACTTTGAAGTTGAGTCATTAATTTTCAGATAATGATTGTAGAAGGAAGATAAACCAAAATATGTGTGTAAAAATAAAAAAAAATTAAAAAATATTTTTTACCTTGTTTTATAAAGTATCCTCCCGACAAGTATTTCAGTGCGGACCTGTATTTGATCGTGAGGTCTTGGAGCACCGGCATGCAGTCCCCTGTGTGGTCTTAAGTCACCTGATTCACGAGCCCGTTGTACTACATTAACAAAGGCACGAGGGGTTGGTTGCACTCGATTGGGAAACCGATCCGCATAAACATGTGCCATTTCGTTTGAGCCACGCAACAGACACCACTATTCAAACGCGTTACCGACTGACACTGACTGTATACAACTGACTAAAATAATTGTAAAAACATCGTTCCAAATTCTTTCGCTTTTTTGTTTCCGATGCGATGAACCAAACACGAGCACATAATATTATTATTGAGACAGGGCGGTACTCAAACTTCCAAAGGGCTATAACTTTGTTACTTTAATTTTACCAGAAAAATGGTAAAGGAAAAAACATTTCTTTTGATCAGATCTACTCACTGTTAAAATAAATGACTCAACTTCGAAGTATAACATTTTTTTTTTTGAGGAATCAACTTCTGTCATAATTGTGCATATATGGTTAAAATTTGTCGGATAAGTTGTAAAACACGCCTTAACCTCACTAAGAACCAAAGGGTTTGTCCTTGTCAACCGTTATTTTGGGACACACTGTATTATCTTGTTTTAGATACATCAAAACAATTGACGAGAGATATGCGAGTGCACTAGGAACGTTTTTCATAACCATGTTCATGTGCAATGTTGTCGATTCATACAGGTTTACAACTTCGTAAGTATACGGCTGCCGAAACATTATGAAACATATTTAAAATTTGTTATTTTAGTACTTACTTACTGGCAACCTTCAGATCTTTCTCGTATGTGGTTAGTAGCATAACGCTGATATTTTTCATGTGCTACTTTATACCCGCTCAGTCGCTTCAAGATGAGGTAAGCGGAACTGATATCAGATAAGATTTAGGATTTTCAGATGGAATAAAAAAATTGTACATATTTTAGGAAACACAGTGGTATATTAAATGGCATAGAAAACACAGCACCCAGTAAGAATCAATTTATTAAACAATTTGCTATTGTCTAATAATGATAATTAAAAGTAATCGTAATAACTTTTATTGTAACATAAATATAAGGTTGGTCATATTCGACGAAAAGATGTGGCAACACTGTAACTTTTGACAGAGATGACAGATCGAGTAATGACATAGCGCGTTTGAACGTTTGAAGCATCAGCCTAAGGAGATTTTTGCAATGGATCAGTACACTCCATGCGAACACTCGCAGATTGTTGAAATGTACATTCAACAAAACAAGTCAATTGTGAAAAGTCAACGTGCACGGGGAAAAATAAATAAAGTGAAAACTGCGCCTTCCGCGACTATAGTTCGAGTCACATAACTTTTAATGCACGTCATAGGCTTCAAATCACCAGTGATGCCATACATCTTCAAAATTGGTATGTTGTAGGAATTCTCAGCATTCGTAATCTTTCTCATTCTCTCTGCATAGCATGTAAGTTGAGAGTGATGGAAAAATTACGTATTGAGGTAAGTCGGAGATAAGTCGATATTGAAATACTGCGGAACACATTACAGAAGATAGGCTTTGACAATATGAACTGTCATGTCAAATGGGAAACATCCTGTGGTATCCTAATATCATGTTTCCTGTATTGTGGTATTTTTAACCTCATAGTTGAACGTCAAAATGACGATATGATATTATTTACGACATGCCGTAAACTAGCGAATTCGACAAAATAAGCCTGTGCATAAGCGGCAACCATGTAGACATATTTGTAGTCGGTGAGACATGCTAATACTTATATCTTCTTCATTTTCTAACACATTAAATTTATATGACTTGCCATTTTACGTAAGTCGACCACCAATCGTGGCTTTTTGTGACGTGAATAAAAAGATATTATGTGATTTCTACTCGGTGTTGCCATATGTAGCGGAATTCCGCTATTTGTAGCGGATTATTTTGAGAAGAGCGGCGTAGCGGCGGTATACTATAACTATCTAAAACTGTAATGACTCATCGATGTTCACGTGAACATCACTCAACTACCAGTAGTCGGCTGTTCATAGGCGGGGTATGAATGTTTAACATGGGTGAACTAGATTTGTCACATGCTTAATAAAGAGTGGTTTGAAACATATTGTAAGTCAAAAATTAGGGAATTACCTTTATTCATCGTCGCTTCCACTTACATCTGACAGTAATAAACTGTCGCTATCGCTTTCCTCGCTGAAATTGACTATAACTGGCTCTATGATGGTGTCGATGTGGTGGTCAAGCTGCCACATTTTTGTTTCTTCCTTCACAACATGACGGATAGCATTCTGACAAGCTTCGGGCGTTACTAGCTGTATGGAAGTCTCAAGTAAAACCTTAACGTCTGGTAATTTGACGGTTGTGTTATGGCGCGCAATATAACCCTTCACTTGAGCCCAGATGAGCTCTATTGGGTTCAATTCACAGTGGTAGGGCGGTAACCGCAGCACAATGACACCACATTGACGGGCCATCTCATCAGTCACGTAACTAATGTTCGCAGGTTTGTGCTGTTTAATTTTTTCATACAATTCCGCTTTCACACATGAATCGTCAAACGGGATTCCTTTTTCGCGCAACCATTGCTGCATGTTACTTTTTCGAAACCGCATAGTCGGTACACGTTCAGCTCGACGACTATGGTAGGAAGCATTATCCATGACGATCACAGAGTTGGGCTCAACTCGCTGAAGCACCCCTTGAAACCAGGTCTCGAAGCAGCTGGCATTCATTTCGTCATGGTAATCACCTCCATTCTTAGACACGAAAATCAAGTCACCCTCTTCTAAAAAGCCACTATTGCTACCAATATGAGTTACGATAAATCTTTGACCTTTCCCTGACGGTCCACGAAGACCTGTTGACAAACCTTCAATGCTTGCTTATCGGTTACTCACTACGTTTTTGTCTATCCAGGTTTTTTTAACTGTGTGACCTGTATTCACCCATGTCTCGTCCAAATAATAGATTTTTCTGCTTTGTCGCCTATATTCAACCATTTCGCGTAGGTATTTTCGACGCCAGGCGACTATTTCAGGTCTCTCTCTCAATACTGACTTCCGATTACGCGTTTCGTAACGAAAATTAATTTCGTGCAGGGATTTCCTCATTACCTCGACGCTCATTTGGGGTATAATTTCATTTTCCTTGATCGCTGCATGTACAGCCTTGAGGGTTGGTATCTCATTCCTAAAGAAGAATGAATGTACGGTTCGGCTTAACGCCATTTTGCTATCGTCATCCAATTTAACGGCCTTTCGTCCCTTCAAATTAAACTTTGGATCAGTAGTAGCTCCAGTTTTCTTCTTTTCATGCACCACCCTGCGAATGGTCCACTCTGGAACGCCTGTCATACTTTCACAACGCGCGAGTGCATCTCCCTGCGACATAGGTCTGTTCAGATAATTGAACACGTTGAGCACGATTTCTTTCGCGTCCCTCTTCAGTGCTTTACGAAGCTGTCTACTTGTTCCCTGGCTTTCAGTACTTCTACTCGTGCCATTTGTACTCTCCATGGTTAAGTATAACCAAAACAGTAACCACAGAAACCACAACAATAACAATCACACAACAATTCTTATAAAAACACACAATATGCGATCGCTCAACGAAACACGTTCCAATGCGTTGCCGACGCCTATGAGTCTGCCGGTCGAGGCGCGTCTTTGATTTCATTGGTTCTACCGGCGGAGAATAATCAGCCATTATTTCCATCTCTGTCTGTGCTGTTGACCACCGCAAAGCCACAGAAACGACATATGTTGTACGTTATACGGCTGTACTGGAAGGAAGCCGGGATCGAGCTCTGATCACGTGTTGATCACGCGTATGAGTCATTACAGTTTTAAATAGTTGTAGTATAGAGCAAATTAGCCCAAAATGTAGCGGAATTTATTACATACAAAACTATCATATTTATTTCACTGTTTTAACGTTAATAACATTCTAAATCCTAAATAGGCAGTGGCTAGAGTCTGATTTATTATCACATTAATAATAAAATTGGTGCATGTGGTGCCGCTTGAGCCATCTAGGAACAGAGAAGAGAATTATTCTACTTGCCTTTTTTTTCAATAACAGATGGCGTACGTACCAGTGTTGCCAGAAGTAGCGGAATTCCGCTACTGGTAGCGGAATTTTCAAGTGGTAGCGGCATAGCGGCGGAATTGAATTTTTTGTTAAAAGTAGCGGAGTTTTGCAATTTAAGTACACATGATGGATATTTTTACCAGAAAAAAAATTGAGTGCAGTTAGTAACCAAATCTAAATAGGTACAGGTATCGTTCCAATCGACAGTGGTTAGCACCGGTCGGTAATTCTTATTCAACGGAGACGCGTATAGATGGTAATAGGTGGTAAGAACACAACCTGTGAAGTGTATTTCCAAAGTATGTCTAATAATTTTGATATTTGCCACATGGTAATTCAGATGTCGAGTGGAAATTCTCATATATGGAGATAATCAAAACAAAGAAAAGGAATCGTATTTTACCTTCAACTTTGCTCGCGATACTTATCAAACTGGATACAATACAAAAAAGTGTTGCTGCTTAGACTTCGAGTTTGGTGAAAAACATTTTAAAACATACAAAAATAATTGATATAGTATAGAGAGAACAGAAATGCAACAAGAATCTGATAGAGACAGTGATTAAGTTTAAGTAACTCAAAAACTTCAATTTTTTTATGCAAAACGGAAATGGCCTTTAGTCATATGTCTTTTATTTTTTAGTTTCCTGTGATATTTTTTTAATATGACTGCGTGATAAATGTTCTTTTGTTTGACATTTATTATGTTATATGTTATATTATATCTGTATAATAAATGCCCCCTTGTTTTATGATAGTGCGCCAAATCCCCCCTGAATTTTCATTGTTGGCTCTGGCAACACTGTTTCTACTATACATTGTATCGTTTGTATGAAAGATTTTCATCAGGTGAGGCACTTACTAATCCCAAGCGTTCAAATAAAAAGCGACCAAGGCGACCGGATGAAAATATCGCACTCGTACCGACCAGTTTTCAGAGGTCTCCAACAACACGTCGATGTGAACAGTTGGGCATAAAACGAACCACTTTACGTCGCATATTGCGTCATGATTTGCATTTGTTCCCATACAAAATTCAACTGACGCAAAACCTGTTACCTGCCGGTAAGCCACGTCGATTGGAATGGGCCCAAAGAGTCATCGAAATGGCTGAAAGTGACGATCATTTTTGGAAAAGAATCATCATGAGCGATGAATCTCATTTCATGTTAACCGGAGACGTAAACAAACAAAATTGTCGGTTCTATGGTACTAAAAATCCTCAAATTAGTCACGAGGTACCTCTTTGTGACCTAAAATCTTATTTGTTGCACTGATTACATTTGTGAAGCCCTAGATAGCAAGACTCAAGTCGATTGCATATACACCGACTTCAGCAAGGCTTTTGATAAAATAAATCATGAATTGCTGGTTGAAAGGCTTGCTGAGACTGGTGTCGACGATGCACTATGTCATTGGATATGGTCTTACATTACCAATCGTAAGCAAATTGTAGCTATCAACGGTTTCAAGTCGCTGCCAGTTATGGTTGCGTCTGGCGTCCCACAAGGAAGTCATCTAGGTCCTTTATTATACTAAGTGACATATAAATCCGAACACCCAGTTTAAATGGTTTTATTTTAATAAAATTTTGTATAAGTACTTAATGAAGCATAATAAGTAAATGATAAAAATTTCAAAATGATTGCACTGCTTTAAAGCCCTTTGACCTTTAATAATGTGTGGATGCACCCTGATGTGCTACGCATTCTCCAACGCGCCTAGACATGCTTCTGATCAGGTGGTCAATGTCCTCCTGTGGTATCTCATTCCAGGCAACCACCAACTCCTCTCGAAGTGCTTCTAGAGTCTGAGGAGGACGTTGCAAATTGAGCAATCTCCTACCCATCATATCCCACACGTGCTCAATTGGGGATAAGTCGGGAGATCTTGG